GCCCCCCCCACACACACACACACACACACACACACACACACACACACACACACACACACACACACACACACACCAAGTTATGACAGCTAAAAGTGCTCCAAACATTATGAAATATCTGCTAGGGGACAAAATTGTCCCAGTCCAACTCAAAATGTGTGAGGTTTGTCGGGTGTCTCTTGGGCAGGCCCTGGGGTCCACAGTTTTTATCCCAGCAGCTCTGAGACTGTCAAAAGGAGTTACACAATTTATTTCAGGTGGATTTCTATAAAAAATGGTTATAATAAGAAAATTACTTTTGATATTTAGAAAAGTGCCCTTCTATGTCAAACACCTGGCATATCATCAGCAACCTAGAAAATTCATGTATGGGGCCCCAGCTTATTCCCTGATAACAGTTTATATGAGTAATGATCCAAAGCTGCACTGAATATTTTTTAAACAAAAATAGTAGGTAAGATAACTAACTATATAGAATTGGTACGGTAATTATTTTCCTTTTCTAGGTCACCTACAATGGCTGGTGGATTGTTTGCCATGAACAGACAGTATTTCAATGAACTTGGACAGTATGACAGTGGCATGGATATCTGGGGAGGAGAAAATTTGGAAATATCATTTCGGGTAAATTTATCTTTTTGCCTGCTTAGTTATTAACTTTGTGTGGAGTGGAATATAATTTTCATCCATCATCCCATATGTTCTGTAAAGTCTCCTTGATTCTCTTTATTGACAAATTGTCCCTAATGAAATCTACTTCACCATAATCTGTGTAGTGGATAATATCTATTCCAAATGTCAAAAGCATTTAAGAAGCCATATATTTATTTTACCAGAATTTTTAGCACTGGCTGGTGAGCTCAGCTGGTTAGAGGGTGGTGTTGATAACACCAAAGTCCAGGGTGCAGATCCCTGCACCAGCCAGCCACAAAACAACACAACAAACAAAAAAGAATTTTAAAAGTATGGTCGTAAAGAATGGTTGGGTATAAATTAAGGAAGTCTTAATGTGTGTTTCATCTAGAGTTTTGTTCTTTCTTTGTCAGTTTATTAATTTTATTGATATCACTAGATATATATAGTTAGGGTGATCAGACTTCCCTGTTTGCCTAACATCCATCCTGCTTCATACCTGTTCTCCTGGAAAAATTAATAGTAGCTCCCTATTTTACTTTTAGAAGTAGCCCAGCTTGGGCCGGCCCGGTGGCACACTGCTACAGTGCGCCGCTTGAGAGCGCGGCGGTGCTCCTGCCGAGGGTTCGGATCCCACATACAGACCGGTTCCCGCTCACTGGCTGAGCGAGGTGCAGGCGCAACACCAAGGGTTGCAATCCATTGCCAGACACGAAAAAAGACAAAAAAAAAAAAAAAAAAAAGGAGAAGTAGCCCAGCTTGATGCTAAATTATTCCGTTTTACTGAATCCTTAATATACAGGTACCTCCAAACTGAGGAAGAAATTGACCTTTCATGACCTCTCCTATTCTTGAAATTGCTAAGGTTGGAAAGATGACAGTACAGGTGGGGTTTGAGGCTCAGGGACCATGGTGGTAAAACAGTCTTTGAAAAGGCAGAAAAAGGGTGAGGGGAGAACTGAGACCTCTCCCTCCAAGCAGATGTTCTATTCTCTGCCCCCATCTCCTAGTCCAGTCAGTAGAATCATCGTGGGATAAGGCCACAATACCTGTGTGTATGTTATTTTGTATTTAAAAGGCAGTTTTTCCTCCATAATCTTTAGAATTTTAAGTTTGAAAGGCATAATAGATATCATTACTGTAGTCTTCTTATTTTCTTAGATAAGATAATCAAGTCCCACAAAGAATTAACACAACTGGAAAGTAACTCAGTCACGGGCAAAATTTACACCAGAACTAAGGTCTTTTGAATCTTAATTTAGAGTTATTCTGTATACTTTATTTAAAACTGTTTTCTAAAGTATATGCATTTTATAAGAAAGTACCTATAAAACTGAAATTAGAGGACTAGTTAATAAGTATTCCTTGTCCCTAAGATCCAGTCCCATGATCTGATAAAGCAACTAAGTATGGTAAATGCAATTTCAGACACTAGGTAGTAAATGAATATTACATTGTTTTAAATTTAGTTCATTTTTAATCATAAAGACAGTCTTCTGAAATGTACCCTCTGACTTTGTTCTATTTGAATATTTGTAACTAGTAAGATAAAGCATTGCAAAGTTTCATAAACACCAGTGTAATGAAGATTAATTTCGTGAAAGTCATAGAGAGGTTTCACACAGTGCAGCCAACTTTTAAGACATGTTTTGCTTCTGACCAGATCTGGATGTGTGGAGGGAAGCTCTTCATCATTCCTTGCTCTAGAGTAGGGCACATTTTCCGAAAAAGGCGACCATATGGATCTCCTGAAGGCCAGGACACCATGACCCACAACTCTTTGAGGCTGGCCCATGTCTGGTTGGATGAATACAAGGTGAGATCAATTTCTTGTTCAGAAGGTGAATGATAGGCCAGCCCCGGCTTCGGTGATAGCTTTGGTTGCTTTCTTTTTAAAACTCTTGCTTGCATATTTCTGTTTGCTTGACCTTTACCTTAGGGCCACCTCTCTAGCTTTCTTCTGTCTCTTCTCCCAGTATTTCACTTGTTTTTTGCAATCTGACTCTTTTAATTTTCTAAGTGGCTACTCTATAAGAGGTAATGCAGCCAACATCAGAAGAACTTCTGTCTGTCTCCGGTTGCTCTATTCCCTCTGGTCCCTCTCGTGACTCTCGCAGAGCCTGGCTTCTTTCCTTCGCTCACGGGACTTTGCTATGACCCAGTCCCTCTGCTTCCACTAAATATGTTAGACTCCACATGTTTAGAATTCCTTCCCACTTTCTCTTCTGACTTAGGCAGCTTTCAGTATTTTCTTTGTAACAGCTTTATTGAGCAGATCAATTTAGGAACGTTTTATGACCCCAAAAATAAACCCTATGGCCTTCAACCATCACCCCCCAATCACTCCATCTCTCAACCTGAGAATACCACAGATCTACCTCCTGACTCTGTAGTTAATTGGCCTTTTCTGGACATTTCCTCCAAATGGAATCATATAATATGTGGTCTTTTCTGTCTGGCTTCTTTCATTGAGCATGTTTTCAGTTCCTCCATGTTATACCATATTTTAGCACTTTATTCCTTTTTATTGCCAAATAATATTCCATTGTAGGAATACACCACATTTTATCTATCTGCTCACCAACTGGTGGACATTAGGGTTGGTTCCAGTTTTTGATTATTATGAAAAATACTGCTGTGAATATTTGTGTTCAATTATTTTTTGAACAGTTCCTGCATACCTTCTGTGTGCCAGGCTCTGTGTTAGGTTTGTGGGGATAAAAGACAAGTAAGGACGTGCACAGTAATGCTTAGCACTGGGGGGTAAACACAGATGGAGCTGCAGATGAGGGTGCAGCAGCTGGCTGGGTGTGGGATGCAGGAGTGGGGCTCCCCAGCGCTTCTCCTGAGGTATTGATTATCTCCTCCCTTCGCCCTTTGCAGACTGTGAGCTCCTTGAGGTCCCACCCCACACTAATCTTTGAATCATCACTGTCTAATGTAGTTCTCAAAACATGGTCCATAGACCCACGAGGTCCCAGCCACCTTCACAGCTGGGTTAATACTGCATTGCCACTTTCGCCATGTCCACACTGCCCTGTTGGTACGGACTGGTGCAGTGAAATGGCTGTGCCTTAACATAAACCAAGGCACTGGCACCAAGTGACACCAGTTGTCACTGCGTTTCTCACCACCAGTCACTCAGAAGGTACAAAAGGAAAAGCCAGTCTGTTGGGCTAGGGCTGGGTCTGGAGCTCTCAGATCCCTCACATGCCAAGCTGGGTCACCAGACCCCTTCATGCAGGTCTATGAGCTAGGTAAGTGGCCAAAAGGTCCCTGGAGCCATAGGTTGGAAAGCATGGCTGCGTGGGGTGGACACCCAAGGCCGACGCCCGCGCCCCTGCTTCCCTAAAACTCCTCTCTCTCTCTCTCTCCTCTGAAGAATAGCAACGAAACTAAACCGATACATTGGCGAGTATGCGCACTAACTCCACACACACACGCAATTTGCCTACAATGGACATGCCGAACCACACCCAGCTGGACCCAGTGTGAATAGCAACGAAACTAAACCGATACATTGGCGAGTATGCGCACTAACTCCACACACACACACGCAATTTGCCTACAATGGACATGCCGAACCACACCCAGCTGGACCCAGTGTAAGGGCCCTGACCAAACTATTCTGTTTTCCCAACACGTCTTTTCCATACTCCTTGTGAGTATGCACACTCACACAGAAAGTTCCTTGCTGCGTGCTGAATACAACAGTTGTTTCAAGGAAAAACACTGTGCAGTTGTTTGAGTTGTGAGCTGAGCTAGCCACTGTTCTCCAGGAGTATTCTTTTTATGTAAAAGAATGACTCGCTAACAAACCATGGTTATTCATATTTGGGTATTTCACAGACACTTTCTCAGAAATGAACCAAGTGATGAAAATGAAAACAACTGTCAGTCTGTGTTCCTCAAATGATAAATTAGAATTTTGAAAAACTTACATCCATCATCACGAGGTTGACACCCTCCCAGTACTTAAACATTTATGAATGTAATTTCTTGATATTGTATAGAGAAAATTTTCAGTGTTTTGTAGAACTGCACAACCCAGTGGACCAGTATTTTTCAAATCACTAGTGCACGATGTTACAAAAATCTTGACTGGGTGAAAGATCCATTCAAAGAGCAAGACTGACCAAGAGATTTTAATGCAATAGTACAAAAACCTCAGTAATATGATTTCATATTCCACATTATAACAACTTTAAAAGTTACTGAGTTTTGGTGTAGTATCAGAAAAAATTACAATTATCTGTAACAGTTATTAAAATACTTCTTCTGTTTACAAATATATACTTTCATGAGATCGTATTTTTAAAAATATATTCAACCAAAACAACATAGCAACAGGCTAAGTGCAGATATAAGAATTCAGCTGATTTCATTTAAGCCAAACAGTAAACAGATTTGAAAAAATATAAAGGAATTCCACTGTCCTCACTAAATTTTTTTGGTTTTTGAAAAGGAGCTTATTATTTTAATGAATTAAATATTCTTAATTGTAATTTCTAATCTGGTAAGTATTTATCAGTAGATAAAACCTACACAAACAGAACCTCCTGGCATCTTCAGTAATTTTTAATAAAAATACAGAGCCCTGAGACCAAAGAGTTAGAACCACTGATCTCTCTCACCTATAGCCTGTTTGATTCTCAGATGCACCGCTTTACATATTTTGCTATTTGTGAAATTGGGATGTATCTTACGATTCCAGATATGTCTTATTATCATTGTCAGTGATGGGCTTAATGGTGAAAATTTTTCATTCACATTTTCTGGGAACATCAAGAAAACACCACCATGAAAAATGATGGTGTTCATGATCCATTTGTTTTAAGTTGTTCTTTAAACCTCAAATATAATTGCATAATTTTTATTTTTAACAAAAAAAAGGTCCATTTTTGTCTTCTTCTTTTTTTAATTCAGGAACAGTATTTTTCCTTAAGACCTGATCTGAAGACTAAAAGCTATGGGAATATCAGTGAACGTGTCGAGTTGAGGAAGAAGCTGAGTTGTAAATCATTTAAATGGTATTTGGATAATATTTACCCAGAGATGCAGGTGTCTGGGCCCCACGCCAAAGCCCAACAACCCATTTTTATCAACAGAGGGCCAAAACGCCCCAAAGTCCTTCAACGTGGAAGGGTAAGGAAGCAGTCTTATCAAAGTGTTTCATTAAAAGTTGTATGATGTGAAGGTGTGAAATGCCCATAAGCCATACCAGTAACATTCTAGACTTGACAAAGTGTAGATTTAATGATAGACGTTAGCTTGTCTTCCACTACATTCTCTTCATGGCAACTTCCTCTACTCAGTTTTAAGACCTTAGAAATTTTAATGTCTTTATTGAAAGAAAAAAAAAGAAATCTTAATATCTTTGATGTTACTATCAAGATCTTTTACCTGCCGGCGTTAAGGATAAGTTAGGTGACAGCTTTCGAGAGTGCAGACACGTGATATACACACGGAATAAAGGCAGCATAAGTAAGCATAAAATTCATTTCACAGAGACCAGTCCAAAAAGGAGAACACCTGAGACCGCTCTCTACCGTGCGGTCCCAGCTCTGAGAACTGACATTCAGCCAGGACGGGAGGTGGTGGCTGGGGTCGGCCTGGTGGCAGGGAGCGCGCTGACCAGACACGTTTCCTTAGCTGTCTCCCTCTTGTTCCTTAAAGTTCTTCCGAGTTTTATAATCACACTTAAATTTTAGGCGTTAGCCAAAAAAATCATACCTTTTTCTTGAGTCATTTCTCATTCTACTTTATAAGATTTTTAAAAACCCACCATCAAGGTGGTTATTATTCGTGTTTTTCTCTTGAAGTAAGGAGAAAGAGCGGTGTGTGTCTGTCCGCTGCGCTCCCTCCCCGCATTATTTACTGCTGTTCTCTCACCTGTGGGATATTTACCTCCGGTTTAGCATGTATATTACATTAATTATGTGCTGTCTTTTTTATACCCTTTGTTCTTATTTTCTCCATTTCATTGTAAGGTTCTCTGAGGCAGGGATGATATTTTAATTTCCTTCATTCCCTGTAGCAGATTGGTAAAAACTGTGTATTTAGCTAGAATTTATGCTTGACACTGCCTGCATATGTTGATAAAGTTGCTAATAACCTTGTAATATCTGTCTTGATGCTCCCCTGTACTAAGGCTAGAACTTAGGAATAAAATTGCTTATTTTTATGACCCTTGGAATAATATTCTTACATTTTATCCAGAACCTCCTTCCCAAGCATTGGAAGGCATCTTGTGACGCTGGTCTTTCTGTGCATGCTGACGTATCAGGAGCTCTCTCTTTTTTTACAGCTGTATCACCCTCAGACCAACAAATGTCTGGTGGCCCATGGCCGCCCAAGTCAGAAGGGAGGCCTAGTGGTGCTAAAGGCCTGTGACTATGGTGACCCAAACCAGGTGAGTGATGCCTTGGCATGCACAGCCAGTCTTCAGCAGGTGGGCTCTGGTGACAGGAAGCTGCCAGCAGTCACTCCCGAGGACACCAAAACATTTAATATTCTGACCGCTCTAAAATTACATGCTTTAAGTTGGAAAGGACCTCAGAGATTGTCTTGGACAACTACCCTTGTCTCCTTTGTATATTTTTCCTACCTCTGCTCAGTGTTAGTTGAAGTTGTATTTCAATTGTTCAGACCATTATTTGTACTCTGTAGTATTGTATGGAATGAATTGTGACTTTCAAGCTGTATGAGTTTGTTAGAAATGGCGAAGTGTGCCTTCTTCCTGGACAAGAACCTTAAAATCTGCAATAGGTGAATCAAAGTATCTTTTGTAGAATTTTCTAGAACTGAAATCAAATTTTCCTAACTGATTTTTAGTGTTCATCTGAGGAAACCACAACAGAATTTCAGTTCATTCTATCACATAACTTAATTTCAGTTTATGTGTGTCTTTTCAATATTGAAGTGGCCCTAAAAATAAATAACATTTCAATTTGATACTGTAATTTCACACTACTTTCTATTGGATAAAATAGCATAACCTAACAACAGTCTAATCCCATAGTTGGTGTCTCAAGGCTACGTTGTTCACAACACATCCTAAGTAGTTTTTATTTCCATTTTAGTGGGTTGGTGTCACTCAAAAATGAAAAACACTTGGACTTTTTGGTAGATAGAGTGTATACTCTGAAATTTCATAGAACATGTTTTATTTCTAGGAGAGTTCATCTAAGAGACTAAGGTGATGTGCCTATTGGAAGACATGGTTTAAAAAAGTGCAGTTTCGGGGCCGGCCCAGTGGCGCACTGGATAGTGTGC